AAAAAAAATGTTTTTCAAAAAACAAATAATAAATAGATTATCAAATTATTTTTCAACATAATTAGAATGTACACTATTATTCATAAAACTATAATAAAATAGAATACTAGTCGTATAATTCATAAAAGGAAAACAACATTAATTTCTAAATTCAACATTGAATTTAAATTACTAATACGTTAAATAGATTACTAGTCGTAATTCATAAAAGGAAAACAACATTAATTCAAAAATAGATTACTAGTCGTAAATAGATTACTAATACTTTAATATGGAATTTAATATTTAATTTCAAATAAGTTTCTAAATTAATTCCTACATCCATTATAACTATTTGGAGATCTTTCCAAATTCAACGTGTGTCATTAGTTACACCCCCTCATAACACAATAACTTATAAATAGGGGTAGGTTTGGAATCCGAAAAATACAATAAATCAGATTTTAAGTTATATTAGGTAACTTGCTTAGTTGGATCCTAGTCATCGGGTATTATTTGAAAAAATTGGGTATTTTAAATAGAAAACTAAAGGAAAGGTTTGTAGGTGATTTAAAATGAATTTTATGGGTCTAAGCTCAATTTACTATAAAATTTATTACAAGGGCTAAATTAGCTGAAAAAATAATTCAGGGTGGACATTTCGACAAGCATTATAGTTTAGAGGGGTTTTCGGCACTTTACCCTAGATTATTCATGGCAAAAAAAGAAGAAGAAGGGAAACCATTACAAATGGCTTCTCAAGTGAACAATGTTCGCAGTCGGTTCCCGTGGTGCATTCTGTGTTGGAAATAACGACACTATTACATCGTCTGAAGGAAAATACTCCCCTACGTCGTGATCCGATGGAATCGCATCTGCCAATGATTGAGTTGTCCTTGTACTCAATTGTGTTGGACTATGAGGACCGAGAGTATTTTAATTATATGATAAGTGAGATGTGAATTTTATAATAAATATGGACAATAGCAACTAAAAATCTTATCCGAAAATTTTATCTAAAGTTTGAGATGTGAATTTTATAATAAATATGGATACATGGCAACCGAAAATCTTATCCGAAAATTTAATCCTAAAATATTATTCGAAAATTTTATCTGAATTTGAGATGAGAATTTTATAATAAATAGTGACACGTGGCAACCGAAAATTTTATAAAAAATAATCGTTTAAGTATAAAAAAAAATAGAAAATAAATTAAAGTGAATAATAATTGCCGTTGCCGTTGCTTATAAGGGTGGAAACAAAATTGCAAAGGCTGCCACTACCTATAGGGATGGAAGTGCTCTGATGTGAATAAATTTTGGGCCTTATGTTTGCTTGAAAAAATGAGGACCAATTTAAAATTTGTATTGGACCATGGGCTTTGGGTCAGGCCCTGCCTGCCTTGGGCTATGTTGCACCATATTCGGCCTAGCTAGCTAGCTAGAGTCTTCCTATTTTCGACCCCAAAAAAAACAGCTAGAGTCTTCCTACATATTAAATAGAATTTTAATTTGAATGCCCCTGCTAAGTTTTAATGTACCTAAGTATGAATTTGTTTTTTTGGACGGGGTATCTAAGTATGATTTTTAATACACTAAAATAGATTATTTTTTTTGGTGGGGGGGGGGGGG